GGGGGGGGGGGGGACACATGCACACACACGCACACACGTACACACGCATGCGCATGCACATGCGTTGAGCTGCGCAATCCAGCTGGTCTGCCGAGGGGATCCCGGCGCCGGGCGCATGCCCTCTGGGTGCCCGATCGAGAAAGGAGCACGCAGCGCACCACGGGCCGGGTCAACTCCGCGAGAGGGTTCCATGCTGGTGTGGGCACAGCCCCGTATCGCTGGCGGCGCGCCGGAGGTCACCCAGGCGGGAACCGGGGAGGGACGGACCCGCCGCCCCCGCCGCCCCCGGCGGCCTCTACAAAGTAGATGGGGCCAGAAGGGCCAGGGTGGGGCGGGGGGGGGGGTGGGCGCCGCGCACGCGCGCGCGGGCACATTCTCACGAAATGTCCGGCAAACACGAGGGAAAAAAGTGCCTGTCCAGCACGCAAGAATGCGCGGAGGGCCTCTCGAAATGGACGCCGCCGGCAGGACAGCGGTTTCATCCCCGTCCAGAGGGCCCGAGGGAGGTTGTCAGGGCGACGATCCCGGCCGCGGTGGCGGTGGGACTTTTCACGCCCACCGGGGACCAGCGCGCGCGCACACCGGGCCGGAAACAGCCCAAAGCCGGCCTTACCCCTTGCTGCCGTTGGGCAGGGGGCGCGGCCGTGTGGGCGCGCGCGTCGTATGGGCGCGCGCCTCCCACCCGGCCGCGGGCCCATCCCCCACCGAGCATCTGCCTGGCCGGGAGGAGAGGCGCGCTCACGGGGCCGGGAGACCGCGCTGGAAAAAAAAACCAGAAAAAAAAACAGGCACGACTAAGTCACAAAAGAGAGGACGCCGGAGGAATGCGATCCCCGGTCTCCCGGCGGGTCTGGACGACCGCGGTCGGTGCAGCGGTCGGTGCCGCGGTACAACCCGCGGCTCTCCTGGAGGGGAGGCGGCCGGGGGGAGAGAGAGCGAGAGAGAGAGAGAGAGAGAGAGAGACAGAGAGAGGTAGGGAGACGGAGGCCGCCTTCCCACAGGGGAAAAGGGGCCGGCTCGAGGTCCGGGCCGGTGGGCCCCTGGCTGCAACCCACCCCCAAACATCCCCCAGTGCCCCTGTCCGTCTCTGGCCCCGCGCCCACATGGCCGTGCAAGCGCGGTCGCCAGCCCCTCCCCGCCCCAGCTCCCCGCCCCCCAGCCAGGCGGGAGTCGGGAAATTGCCGTCAAGCAGCAGCCCCGGCACCGGCGGGCACCCCTGCCCCCCGCCCAGGGAGGCCCTATTATTGCGGAAAGTGTGGGGCATCTTACGCGCCCATCGTCCCGCTTGGACAAGCCCCTGGCTGGCTCTCGGCCGGCCCCCGCGTCACGGCCGAGCCCGCCTCTGTACTCGCCCGCCGTTCGCCCGGGGGGGGGGGGGGGG